AGGAAACTTAAAAGTTTTGTATGTTTTTCTCTTCATCAGATGCTAAAACCCCAAGCACAGCAGCTACCCCAACCCCAGCCACAAGCACAGCAGCTACTCAAACCCTGACAACAGACACTGTAGCCAAATCAAATGACCAATACGTGCCAATATTGGTTGCCCCTATAAGCAAGGGGAAAAGCAAACAAGAAGCATAAAAAGCAACCTGTGCAGTGAAGGAAGATGAAGATGCAATGCACATACTAGATGGGTGACATCCAAATGAGAAGAATTAGTACAGGAATCAGAGGAAGAGGAAGAAGAAGTGACTTCTCGATCCCTGACCTCAACCGAGATGCAGAATATGCAAAAAGATTTCACTCACCATCCAGGTGAGCACAGTGTCACCGGCTGCTCCGATGCTGGAAAAATAGGGCTGACAGTCATGAACTAGAAGGTAGGGAAACGAAGCAGCTGGGATCACTTGCTAGGGAAAGGGGAACTGACAAAGAGATTGCAAAAGAGAATTGGTCCCTCAGCCTTTGGAGGCAGCTCTTGGCATCTGTAAAAGAAAGGTTTCCATACAAGGACGATGTTATGAGTCGTTCGGCCAAGTGGACCACGATAGAAAGAGGCCTCCAGTCTGAGGAAATCAGCCATTATAGAGATGATCTATAGTAGGCTGGATGCTGGGAATGCACCCGTAGATCCAGATGAAGTCAAATGTACATGACCCATGCGGTGGAAATTCATATAGAGCGCACCGTCATCATATGCCCACTCATTGGCATCAATGATACGGAGTGAAGCAGCACCACCAACAGTGAATAAAGTGAGTCATCAGCTGAGTGTTTGAAGACAATCTCACCCTTTCTGTTATTTCAGCTGTGGAAAAACTGTCCCAGGAGTTCAAACAATTGAGAGACAATCTATCCATCTATCCAGCTCCCCACATGTACCAACCCACGTCTCAGCTATTAACAGAAGGCACCCTACTGCTTGAGAGAGAAGATATAGGAGGTATATGCCACAGGCCACCCTATGGTTTTACCTGTGGGATCATGGAGAAGAGATGAGAAAATGGGATGGAAAACCTACCTCAGCTCTGGAGGAATGGGTGCGTGAATTGAAGAGGAAAACAAAGGTCAAGGATGATCCTCCCAAGAAAGTTGCAGCTCCAGTCTGTGGTGAGCAGCTTCCCAGGTGGAGTGGAAGTGAAGAGGATTTTACTCCAACTCCTGTGATAAGGAATTCTAATCCCTTCCTACAAGATCTAAGTGGAGTATCTTATGATCACTATTAGAGAGGCCCTGCCTCCAGCCAGGTAGAACAGAGGGACAATCAGGTTTACTAGACTGTGTGGATCAGATGGCCTGGCACATCAGTCCCACAGGAGTATAAGCCTCCAGTAGATACCAGTGCACAGTGTACCCTGATGCCAACAAGCTGTCAAGAGCTGGGACTCATTTATAATTCTGCAGTGACAGAAGGATCCCAAGAGTTGACTGTACTGGAGGCTGAAATCAGCCTGACTGGGAGGAAGTGGCAAAAGCACCCCATTGTGACTGGTCCAGAGGCTCCATGCATCCTTGGCATCGACTACCTCAGGAGAGGGTACTTCAAAGGCCCAAAAGGGTAGCGATGGGCTTTTGGTATTGCTGCTTTGGAGACAGAAGAAATTGAGCAGCTGTCTACTTTGCCTGGTCTCTCAGAGGATCCTTCTGTTGTGGGGTTGCTGAAGGTCAAAGAACAAGTGACAATCACCACCACAACAGCGCCAATGCATTTGTCTCAATCCCTTTGGCAGCAGAGTGCAGGCCTCAGTTTGCTTTTACTTGGAGAGGCATCCAGTACACTTGGAATCAACTGCCCCAGGGGTGGAAACACAGCCCTTCCATCTGCAATGGACTGATCCAGACTGCACTGGAACAGGGACAAGCTCCAGAACACCTGCAATAAATTGATGAAAATGGGGAAGTCCGATGTGTACCTGAAGGGGATTTAATTTGGGGGGAAAACAATTAACTCAATTATATGCTGTTGACTGCTATATAACACAGCAACGGTGGGAGTCTCACAGAACTCTCCTCAGGCCATCATCAACTGACCCTGACTTCCCTCCAAACATCACCCCAACAAAGAATGAACTTTGATGAGTTCGGTGGTGTCATAAGCAGGCAACAATCCAGCGCTAGACACCATCTCTCCTGCTCTGAAAGACTGCTACAAAAGATGAAGCCTAACATCATGGACTGAACAAATTCAGCAGCTTTATAGGGATGGTCCATGGACTAAGGAACGATATCTCTCACTTTTTGTGTGCATATATATATATATAAAAATATATATCAAGAGACCAAAAGTGATGGTATACTGAAAAATGTGGGATCTGAGCATGACAGGAATGGTACAGAATAAGGGGTAGATACTGTCCTGGATTCAGCTGTAACAGTTATTTTTCTCTTTCCTAGTACCTAGTGCAGTGCTGTGTTTTCAACTTTACTCTGAGAACAACACTGATAACACTGATGTTTTGAGTTGTTGCTAAGAAATGTTTACTCTGATCAAGGACTTTCTCAGTCTCATGCTCTGCCAGGGAAGAGAGGCACAGGAAGCCAGGAGGAAGCAGAGACAAGACACCTGACCCAAACCAGCCAAAGAGGTATTCCATACCACAGCACGTCATGCCCAGTATAGAAAATGGGCGGAGTCACACAGAAGGCCCAGATTGCTGCTTGGGTCAGGCTGGGTATCCATTGGCAGCTGTTGTATTGGGCAACACTCAGGTTTATTGGTTTGGGTTTTTTCCCTTCCCTTTTTAGTTTTATTTCTGTCCCCTTGTTACTTCCCTTATCATTAGTAGTAGTCTTATACTTTAGCAGCTGGACTGTGCTTATCGCAACCCATGGGGCTTACATTCTTTCAATTCTCCTCTCCATCCCTCGGGGGAAGGGGAGTGAGGGGGTGGGTGGAAAAAAGTGCAACACAAGTACTTAGTAGAAACACATTTTAATCACAAGAGGCTTTGGCCACAACTGCTCTTTGGTTTGAAAAGGAAACACCAGCAGTTAGCAGAGCCCTTGGTGGTGGATCCCTTGCCAGCCCCTGCCTCCCCACCCAGCACCACACTCCTGACACTCATGTTCCTCCTGCCATTTCCATCACGTCACAGGTCAAAACAAGACCTAAAGGTACAGCAGCAGAGCTCGACCTGCTCCAGCAGCCCATCCCTAAACAAGACAGCTGCTTCCAACTAGAAAACCCCCCTATAGAAACACCCCTGAGGCTCTTGGTGGCCACTCAGCAGCCTGCTCCACATGGGTCCTCTACCTACTAGCACTAAGGTCTGGCAGCAGAAGCCAACACGGGCTTCTGGATTTGGGCAGCTTCATTGCAGCAAACAAGAAGCAACCAAGTCACCACAGCCAGTCCTACTTAATGATGCTCCAATATTGCACCAAGATGTTTTTGAACCTGGAGGCACCAACTCACAGGCACTAGTTGATGACCTGAACTTGTCCCCACCAAGTTCCCCATACCATCCCCTCTCTCCCAGGCATGGGGCCCCAGCCACGCAGACCAGATGATGATCTATCTGCCCAGGGTGCTGCTTGGCTTCTGCCACATCCTAAGCAGAGCTGGAGCTCTTTGCTGGGACAACAAGAGCTTTCCCAGCTGCGCAGCTTGAGGGAAACAAATGCTCCCCACCAGTCCCTGTGCCCAGAGAGTACCAAGGGGATGGGATCCAACAGCTTCATGGCCAGTGCATAGTGCAGAGCTGTGCCTGGAGCACACTGCCCCAAGCACCCAAGGCTGTCCAGACACTCAGGCCTCTGGAGAAGGAAGAGAGCAGGGCACAGCCACCCAGGGGCCATGCCAACAATTCCTCCAACCCCCTCCTCTAGCCAGCAGCTGCCCCAGAAAGAAATAGAGCCACAAAAGCCCCTGGAGGCTCCAGCAGCCTCCATTTCACATCTTGCTCCTACTAAAGATGAGCTTCTGTGCAAGCTCTCAGCTCTGAGCACTGATCCTGGCTGCTACTGAACCCCTGGCTCTGTGGGACCAGTGGTAGCTATGTGGAGCTCGGGCAGCAGCAGAGCAAGGGCTCAGGTAGGTGCCACACTCCCCAGCTGGCAGTAAAGCATACACTGAACTTGCTACATATTAAACATCAAAAAACCAGCTACTTAAAACCAAAGAGCTCTTTAAAAATCCAAGTTATCACTTTTGTTTGTTTAAAAGATCCAGTATGACAAGTTAAACTATATAGTATTTTTAATTAATATTAAAAAAAACTGCTTAAAAAAAGGCAAAACAAAATAAAAAAGGAAATAAAACCAAACAAAACTCAGTAGGAAGTTCTACATATTTGAGGCAGTATGAAGATAACCATCGGTCCCTCTTCCCTGGGCAGCAGAGGGCTAGGTCTGCTTTAGCCTACTTAAAGCTGCAGATGAAGAGGACTGAGCCCCAGGGTCAGACCTGTCACTGAACTGTCCCTGTCCCCCCTCACCATTCTCAAAACAAAAGCCCTACTCCACCTTTTAGATGAGCATCCCTGATCAGCAAAGCAGAGCTGTCCAGCCTTCTGCAAGGTTCATCTGCCTATACTTGCTGTGTACAACATTTATTAACCTTGTCCTTATCACCTGTGCAGCACATGGGCAACTTACCAGCTGCTGCTCACTAATTACAGCTTATCACATCACTCTTACCTCACAAAAGGGCCAGCCAATAGCACAGAAGAGCTGAGGCAAGCAGGGACTCCTGGAAATCATCTTGTCCAACCTGCTTGCACAAGATCAGCTATAGCAGGTTGTCCAGGACCACATCCATCAAGGTCCTGAGTATCTCCACAGATGGATGTTTAACATCTTAATATCTCCAAAGACGGAGAGGGAAAGGCTGATGGGCAACCTAGTGAGCACACCTTCAACCTCCAAGGCATCTAACTGGCAGGTAACAGGTCTCTGTCATGAGAAGCCAGCAAATTCCTACAGAGGAAAACACCTGAGGCTACATTGACCTTGCTAGGGGAAATTTATTTGTAAGTGATGTTTACAAGAACTGTGCAAAACCTGAAAAATACAGAAGAGGTAAAGAAAGAGTAAAGGGGTAAAACAGGACTCCTGCAAGAGGGGGAAAAAATGCACTCCTCCTTTACCCACTGCTGACCTTCCCCTCCCTGTGGATCCAGCCTGTAGGCCAGGATGGATGCTCCTGGCTCACTCTGGTTCTCCCCAGCAAATCAGCCACCAAGCCCCTGGCATGTGGCAGTGTGGGTTCCTGTTGGCAAGGGTAACACTGCTCAGTTCTAGGTTATTAGCAGTGTCATCACCCTTTAGTGTTCAAACTGCTGGGAGGGCCCTTTGCCTGATGCTTCTGGAGTGATGCTAATGGCCCAAGCAGTGCAAAGGGGCCCAGGGGCTAGGGGAAATTCTTGGCAGAAGAGCTGGGTCACTCAGGAAGCAGTCTCTTGGTCAGGAGCAGTGCATGGAGACCCTCCTTGCCACATTCTCTGGTAGCAGCACAGTGCTTGCTACTCCTCCCTGTGCTGCTGGCAAGGATGGGCAGGCTCACTCAGGACCAGGGTGTAACAGCCAGCAACTGCAAAAGCAGCAATGCCAAAGTGCTTTTTGGAGCTGTGCCACCCTCATGGCTTTTCCCTTTCTACACTCTAGAAAGAAGGAGAGCAGGTGAGTTCGGGGCAGTGAAAACACTAAAGAAATGAAGTGGTCCTTGTAACTGAGCTTGGACCAAGAAAGGTGGGAGATCCCAGCAGCATAATCCTGCTACTTCCTTGCTGAGAAATGCAGCCCAGGAGAAAGGAGGGCTGTCTCTCTCTGCCTTGTTCCCAAGCCCTCTCAGGAAGAGTCACCCAGTCCTCTGCCCCAACCCCATCAGGCAGGGCAGGGAATAAAGGCCGCATGCAAAAGGCTGGTGCCCACAACTGAGCTCCCAGCACTGGAACTGCAGGTACAGCGTGAACTACAGTCCAGGGGACATAAAGCAACTACAGGCATCGCTTCCTCTCCCCACATCCCCCTCCTTTCCTCTCCACCCTTTCAAGCTTTTCACATCATCCATTGCCCCTGCAACACAAGTGGTATAGAAACCACAGAAGCCAGAGGAAAGTTTGCCTGCCTATATGCCCTCCATATCCCCCAAACTCTGTCTACAACTGAAGAGAGGGAAGGCTGAGGCTCCAGAGCATCACATGCAAGCTGCAAACTGCCAAGGGGCAGAAGGCTCATGACAAGCAGGCAGCCACCTGGTAGGCACCCTCAGCCGTGTGCTGGATGCTGTGCTCCTGCAGCACACCCAACTCCAGGAACCGTTCCCCACACCATATGCACTTGTACTGCTGCTCCCGAGCATGCACACTGTGGTGCTTGTTGAGATGTTCACGCTGCTTGAAGGCCTTCTCGCAGGAGGGGCACTTGTAGGGCTTCTCACCGGTGTGCACGCGCCGGTGGCGCTGTAGGTCCGAGGTGTACCTGAACCGCTTGTCACAGTCAGGGCACTGGAGGGGCTTCTCACGGGCCAGATCACAGTGGTGCTGCACAAACTCGGACGAGGAGAAGAAACGTCTCTCACAGAGTGCGCACTTGAGGGGCTTTTCGGAGCAGTGGGCCTGCTGGTGTTTCTGCAGCGCCGAGGCCCGCTTGTAGGACTTGTTGCATATGCCGCACTTGAAGGGACGCTCTGCGTTCTGCATACACTTGTGCCGCAGCAACTCCAAGGACTGGCTGAAGCCTTTCTGGCACATGTTGCACTTGAAGAGGCTTTCTATGCCGTGCATGTGCTGGTGGTACACCAAGTGTGAGGGCTGCACAAAGCCCTTCTCACACAGGTTGCACTTGAAGGGCTCCTCAGCCTTGTGTGTGCGGCGGTGGCGCATCAGTGTGTACTGCTGCTTGAAGCTCATCTGGCACAGGTCACACTTGAAGGGCCGCTCCTCGCTGTGCGTGCGCTCATGCTGCCGCAGGTCAGACGGACGCTTGAAAGCCTTCTGGCACTCACTGCAGTGGAAGGGCCGCTCCCCGCTGGGCGTGCAGGGGTGCTGCAACAGCTCCGATGACTCCTTGAAGTGCAGCTCGCAGATGTTGCACTTGAAAAGGTGCTCTCCAGAGTGTGCATACATGTGGCGCACCAGATGGGAGCGGTGCTTGAAGGTCTTCTCACACACCGTGCACTTGTAGGGCCGCTCTGAGCTGTGCGTTCGTTTGTGGTGCACCAGATGGGACGACTGGCTGAAGCTCTTGTTGCACAGCGTGCACTTGTAGGGCTTCTCGCCCGTGTGGATGCGCTCATGCCGAGACAGCTCCGAGAGGTGCTTGAAGGTCTTCTGACAGATGGAGCAGCTGTAGGGTTTCTCTGAGGCATCAAGAGGCTGTGAATGCTCTGCCTCGGGGGGCTTGCAGGTTTTCTCACAGATAGAGCACTTCATGGCATTGCCGTTGTGGAGATTGTGGTGCTGCGCCAGTGAGGTCAGGAGGGAGAAGCCCATCTTGCAGACACCGCACACAAAGGGCTTCTGCTCCACCTGGATGCACTGGTGTTCAAGAAGGTCAGTGGCCTGGTGGAAGATCTTCAGGCACTGGGTACACTGGAAAGAACGGTCATGGCCTGGCAAGCACTGGTGTTCATGGGGGTTGGAGAGGTGAGCAAGGTCGTGGCCACACACTCCACATTTGTGAGATAGCTCGCCAGCCTGGAGGGAGGTGTGCTGCTGGTGCTGCAGACCAGGGTCTGGCTGGAGCAGGATGCCGTAGACAGAACAGCCCAAGGGGTTGTCAGCAGTGCTGGGTGGGATGGAGTGCTCTGGGAGGGCAGCTGCCCCAGTGTGGTGCTGCTGCGGTGGTTGCTGCTGTTGCTGCTGCCAGCTTTCTGACATGCTTGGGGAAAACCACGGGATTTTAGCAGCAACAGCTTCAGTTTCTTGGTGGAAAGGATTCAAGTAAAAACAAAAACTGAAAGTATCTAAGATCCTGATTCCCTGTAGCTGATCCGCTGAAGTCAAGGACAGAAAATCCAGACCACAGCCAGGATCCTGAGAAGCAAAGAAGTGATCAAGACTCCAGAGCCTCTCCTTGGATCAGCACAAGTTCTTTGTGGACTAATTTGGTTTGGCTTTTTCTTTTTTCATCAAAAGAACAGGAGGCAGAAACAAGTGCCTTGAAGACAAGAAGAGGTCCTTCTCCATGCTGGCTGTGATGTGCTCACACTTGGGAAGGGCAAGGGAAACAGCCCAGGGAACAGCTCTCTCTGCAAGGAAGAGGACAGCTCGTGTCAGGTCTTGGAGGAAAGATGGGCAACTCTCCAGTCAACCTCCCCCCACAGCTCGCTTTGAAAACTCTTCTGCATCCCTGCAAAGCTGCTAGGAGGCAAATTTGGAGTTGCTGACCAGAACCAGAGCCCCACCCCCCTCCCTTGCTGCTGGAGGAAGGATGACTGGACCTGGGGAGGGTCAGGCTCTGCCCACACACAGTCAGGCATGTGTTTGAGCCATGTGCTCTCACAAGAACCCCCAGGTTCCAGACAGCAAAGCCACTACAGCTGCTGTCAGTTGATGCATTGCCCAGCCCTGCTGGGGGCATGGGCTGAGAACACCCATCTCTGCACAAGCTGAGGTACACTAAATGCTGTGCAATCAAGAAGCTACTGGATTAGATTTTACAGACATTGAGGAAGATCCCAAACTGATTCCACCTCAGCTGAAACACCCCTGTGAAGCAGTTGTGCTCCTCCTGCAGCTTGGGTATTAGGCACATACACAAGAGATGTATGTAAGAGATTTCCTCTCTCTCTCGGCAACACTTATAGACTAGGAAGAACCAGAGTGAAGGCTTGCCTTCACCTTGTGGATAGGATATTCTCCTATCCACAAACAAAACACAGAACCCACAGGTATTATGCACAGAACCTGCTGTGAAGATAAAAGAAGTGTTAAAGCAATAGCTTGGCTAAACCTCCTACCAAACCATGGAACAGAAGTACACGAACTGAACAACCTACACCAGAGCTGCTGCCTAGCCTTACTGCAGAATATCATAGCTCACTAAAAAGTTCTAGTCTTTCTAGAGATGTCCAGGAAAACCTGGTATAAAGTTCAGAAGAGTAAAACCCACCAGTGAACATCCGAATCAACACACCTCAAGACAGAGAAAGGGTCCAGGCCTTGGTGAGAAACAGCCTGGGCCATGAGCCCCTAACCCCCATCAGAACACAGACAGGAATGGGTCAACCCACCTACCCCCACCCAGGGGAAGTAAAACCTTAGTCTTCCAAGGTGTTTGTTGTGTTCAAAATCAAGTGATAACAAGCACTAGAGAAACCCACTTCCCACCTCCCCCAGCTGTCAGCTGAGACCAAATCGTTCCCCACCATTTGAGCAGCTTCTGCCTGTGGGGACACTGAATTTTGACCACCAGCAAATTTTGGGCAACAAAATGCCAAAAGCCCCATCACAGCCCTGCCAGAAGGCAAGATCTCCTCTTTCTCCTACACAGCTCACCTTCCCTGTGGACACAGAGGGAGGACTGGCAGCGAAAATCCCTAGCACCGAGCTCGATGGGATAGATACATAACTTCAGCCCGGCTGCCGCCTTCCCCCTCAGGCAGCGTTAACCATGGCAGAAGCATGTCAGCACAGCACCCCAAACCCATGGAGGAGGGGGAGAACGCGGAATACCAACCTTGGCTTACCGAGGGCTCTGCACGGGTACCTGAGCAGGAGCCAGCTCCGAGCCTAACTCATTCCTCCGTGGGAGGTGGGAAACGACAACCATTCCAGGAAAGCAGACAAGAACTCAGAAGTACTTTCAAACTGGAACAGCAGCCCGCAGCAAGCCGTGCTCCGGCATGGTGAGGCCCTCTCCCGCCTCCCACCGCCGGGCCAAGGCTAAGGCCGCCTCAGGGAACGGCGCGGCGGGCCCCTGGGTCGCCGGGGAGCTCGAAGGACAGCGGCCGCCGCCACAGTCCGTGGCCAGGCCCGTTCCGCCGCTCGCCTCTCCCCATGGGACGGCTCCGGCGGCCCCGCTGACCAGAGCGCTGACGGTGCCCTGCGGCCTGCCCTGCCGCCGCGCTGTGAGAAATCCCGCGCTGGGCTGGGTGGGGATGTCCCTGCCTGCCCCGGCGAGGCCCACACAAAAGGCGGCGACGGCAGCAGTCGGGCCCTCAACCTGCGGCGGGTGGAAGGCCCCTGTCAGCCCGCTCTCCACCCGAGCCTCGTAGGAGGGGGAGCCAGAACAGAGGGAAGGAAAGGATGCACCGATACCGGAAGCGGGCGGTGGCTAGGGAGGGAGGGAGGGAGGGAGGGAGGGAGGGAGGGAGGGAGGGAGGGAGGGAGGGAGGGAGGGAGGGAGCGATCGAAGCCGGCCGGACCAGCGGAGGTGGAACGAGCCACGGAGGCTGCCCCCTGCTGAGCTGCGCCGACAACAGCACCCCCGCTGGCACCTGAGGGTGTGCCCTGGCAGCAGCGACTTAGAAGGGCCCGGCGGGGCCATGAGGGCAGTGCTGGTGGGATGCAGCATCTCGGAGGAGGAGGAAGAGGAGCACCGGGGCGGCGGCGCGCAGAGGCCTCCCTAGGCCAGGTGAGTGCGACAGTACGGGCCCTGGGTGTCTGGAGCCAAGTGAAGCTTTACACCAACCAGAACAAGACCAGGTGAGTGAGCAGTGGGGCAGCCTGCCCCCACACCCGCCCACGGGTAGGGAATTTGACCTTCCTACATTCTATAAGGTGAGGCATCTCCCAGTACTTCCCTGCCAGTCTGGATGTGCCAACTTGTTCCCTGTGAGAGGTGCTTGAAATATTCATCTCAAATCAAGAGGCACAGGAAGGTTAGGCTCTGAAGTGGTTTTCTCTGGGCTGCTCATACTTCACACACTGAACATGATCTTGTTGAGAATGGGAATAGTACAAATCTGTGACTTCTGTATCATGCCCTGTGCAGGAGAGTAAGGATGTTAACTGTCTGGTGGCCTCTTGAGAATCATGTCTCTGGGGCAAAGGGCCAGAGCGAACACCCTGCTATGCATGGAAGTGTTAGAAAAGAGTGAAGTTTTTAAGATAAATAATCATATAAAATGGTAGGAACGATTATGTTTGAGAGGTTTATAAATCAATAGTGTGATTTTGTAGAGTAGAAAGAGCTATAATTTTGCAGTTCTGTCTGCAGTCCCGTATCGTGGTTAACCTGTAACCAGTGATACAATGGTAGTCTTGGTAGCAAGAGCTTATATAACCATATATGGTGAAGGGTGTATGGGTGAATTTAGAGAGATATATTGTGAAATTCTATCCAAGCAGAACCTAGAAATTACCAGAGGTAGTCAAGGGAAAATAGAACAATGCTGGCATCCACATAATGGTTGGGATATGTCCAGAGGACAAAAAGGTGAAAAGAACAAGCCGAGGAAGACTTCTTACTTCATCCGAGGAAGACTCCTTACTTCATCAGGACGACCACCAGAGGGGGGCTGTGCAAGCGCAGAAGAGGCTGATGTCATAATAGACTGATGTGGCAATCCTTAATGCATATGTATTAGTTAATAATGCAATCTGTATTTAATATGTATTAGTTATGTAACCTTCAGTGTATAAATTGCGAACGCAATGTGACGAGGTCGAAGCCAGATTTGGGCGCGTGCCCCTGGTTTCCCAGCACTGCAATAAAGCACCTCATATAACCATTCCGGTGGTTATGTGTCAGTCCTTACGCTAACAGAAGCAGGATTATCCTAGGATAGGAAGGGCTTGGGGTGAGCACTGTGGGACTGAGAGCTTGTGTCTTTTTCTTGAGCATTTTCCTGGGACATCAGTCCAGCCTTTTTGCTTGGTACTAGCTTTGGGGACAGGTTGTGGAATTTGAAGAGCCAGACCCTGATTTCTGTATTTCCAGAGCTGAGCAGGGGGCTCTTGTGTGTTATTTGGAAGTGACCCACCTACCCTCTGGGAGCGGAGGGATGGGGAGAAGAATGGAAAGAATGAAACTCCCACAGGTTGAGATAAGATCAGTCCAGTAACTAAGGTATAACACAAAACTACTACTGCTACCACCAATAATAATAATGATAAGGGAAATAACAAAAGGTGGGAAGGCTGAGGTGGAGGGGGGGGCGCTTCATCCCCAAGTTGCTGAGAGCTGGTTTGCTTCACCCTATCCTGATCCGCCTCCTCAGCAAGAGCTGCTGCCTGGTCCCAAAGGGTGGTCAGAGGCATCACACTCCCAACCCTATATCCATGTATGCCTGATGAGCATTGCTGCCTCACTCCTCCCTTCTCATCTCCTTCCCATCCAGGTGACCAGTACTGGATCTTCTGAGAAGCCAACCTGGAGCCCAGGTACACACAGCCCCCGGTCACCTACGGGCAGGGCATCCCCTACGACAGCATCGACACAGCTGTCTGGTGGGATCCAACAGGCCACACCTTCTTCCATGGGGATAGGTCAGTTTCTGTGGGGTCCTTCTCCCTTCTCTGCTGGCTCCAGGCCCTGGCAGGGGTGGTCACGGTGGGTGTTTCAAAGCCCTGTGCTCCTCCCCTGCTCACCACCAACCTTCCCAGATACTGGCACTTTAATGAGGACACCCACTCCATGGACCCTGGGTACCCAAAGATCATCTGGGTGGGCATACCTCCCTCACCCAAGGGTGCCTTCCTCAGCCCGGATACCTGTAAGTAGAGGAGATTAAGGGTGGGATGGGACCAGAGGGGATGGGGTCACCCATTTGGTGGCCTGGCCACATGGGATGGAGACTAGGAGGGTGTCTGGGAATAAGTGGTGAAGCCCTTGCTGAAGGGTTTCACTGGTCCTGGAGCAAAACCTGCTGTCCTGGGCATCTGCAGGGGTGCCCAGGTTGTGGGAGCCCTTGAACCTGCCCACTTACCCCTCACCTCCATCTCACACACACACCAGCCTCCATCTACTTCTACAGAGGCACAAAGTACTAGAAATTTGACAAGCATCTAATGACAGAACAGGGTTATCCCAAATCCATCCTGTGGGACTTCATGGACTATCACACAGCACTGGTCCCAGAACCCCATCCCCACTGACCCAGTGGGGACTGGCCCCCCTTCAACCCTGATGGGGAGTTGCGAGCCGAAGGCAATGAGGAGGAGGAGCAAGAGGAGGATTATGGCAAGGGTGGCCACCAGCCAGGTGGGGACATAGACACTGTGGTGCAGATCAACAAGTATGCGTGCACCATGAGCGTGGTCATGATGCTGGTGCTGCTGCTTTGCACTTGCTAAGCAGGGTCGGGCTCAGTTAGTACTTGGATTGGAGACTGCCTGGGAATCCAGTGTGCTGTAGGCTTTTTTCAGGGATACAGAGGATCTGAGGCCAGCTATACCCTGAGACAAGGATGCACAAAAGCACAAAATATAATCAGTTCTAAGCAATGATAAATGTGATAGCTTTGTAATGGGAAAATAACTGCAGTGCTTGAAGGTAGTTGACACAGTCTCAGGTCCTTAGGACCTTAGTACAAAAGGTGTAAGAAAAGCAGAACAGAAAAACAGGACCTGGGGATGGGGAGTATCTAGGACTAGCAGATGTCCAGGATGGAAGCAGTTAAACTAACTGATAAGTAGAAGGACAGGATGTTTGCTATGTCTGTAATGTTAATTAAGCTGGTTATGAAGATTGTTGGGAAAAGTAAAAGACCCTTAAAAACCACCACATTTTTGTATGCATGCGGGAAACTTTCTGGAAAATGATGTAATATGCCCAGTGACCATATAAGGATGGTCTGCATGGCAATACGGGGACGCACCTTAGGAGGAGCTATCCCCCGTGTCTCCTGGCGTAGCAGTAAAGAATACCTGCTTGTCAGCTTGAAACTCTGTTGGCGAGTTTGTTCCTGGAGTTTTCTCCAAATCAACCCCAACTGAAAAAGAGATACTGGCAGCCTATGAAGGGGTTCCAGATGCTTCAGAACTGATTGGCACTGAAGCAGAGCTCCTCCTGGCACCCCGGTTGCCCGTGCTGGGCTGGATGTTCAAAGGCAGGGTCTCCTCTACACATTGTGATAAACACATAAATGTATTTGCTTTCACAAATCATAGGTGTGGTTATGTGGATATAACTGTACCAGTTTACAGCAACAGAAACAAAGCTCACTAAAGACACAAGATTAGACAACAAGTTAAAAAGGGCCAGAACTCTCGAGCAAAATGGAGTCACATAGCAAAAGAATTTGTAAAGGTTGAGACCAAGGGGCACAAAATCACAAAATGGAATATAGAAACCTTTAGAATTAGTTTTAAGTAATGTTAAGTTTGATGGCTTTGTAATAGTAGCAATGGAAAATTACTGAGGTGCATGATACATAGAGAAAAAAATAGAGTACAGCTAGAGAACATACTGAGAATTCTCTCACAATAAATCGTTATAGTTGACATAGTTTCAAAAAAAACAGTCTAAAAGAACAGGACACAGGGATAAAGAGTATCTGGGAATGGCAGGTGTCCAGGATGGGCTACAGTTACACTAACTGGTAAGTAGGAGGATAGGAGGATTATTATGTCTATGGTGCTAACGAACCAATTAAACTGGTATGAGTGTCTACTGTGTGTGCTTCAAAGGCTGCCAGAAGTGATGAAGATTGTTGGAAGAAGTAAACGACCCTCAGAGACCACCACCACAATTCTGTACGCATGCAGGGAACTCTCTGGAAAATGATGTAATCCATACGTAGCCTCATGAATATGTATGTATGCCCAGGGATGGCTTGTATAGCAATAGGGGGACACATGTTAGGAGGAGCTATCCCCCATGTCTCCCAGTGCCGCAGTAAAGAATACCTGCTTGTCAGCTTGAAAACGTTGTTGGCAAATTTGTTCCTGGAGTTTTCTCAGAATCAAGGTAAAAGAAAGAAGGGGGGGGGGGGCTTGATATAAGAAAAGCTAGTGCCTGGAAAACATAGAGATAAAGTACTTTTTAGCTTAGCTTAGGTTGTAGAAAGAGAACAATGTTTATGTTGTAAGTCTGTGGAATGTAGTGGCCACACTAAACATGAGTTTACTGTTTCACACTAGTCTTCTAAAGTATCTTTAAAGAACAGTGTTTGTGTTGTAAGTCTGTGGTGAGATAACAGGATTTAGTGGCCCCACTAAACATGAATGAGTTATTTCACACCATCCTTCTACTTATCAGTTAGTTTAGAGACAGAGCCTCCCAAACATCTGCTAGCTTTGTATACTCCTTGCCTGCCTATCCTG